ATAGTTCCATACACCAAAAGGTTGTGGGTTCGATTACCAGTCAGGGTACATACCTAGGTTACAGGTTTGATTCCCCGTCTGGGTGCATACGGGAGGCAACTGATCAATGTTTCTCTCTCGCCTCTCTCTCTTTAAAAATCAATAGACATATCCTTGGGTGAGAAAGAAGGAGGAGAAAGAAGAGGAGGAGGCTTGTCCTTACCAAAACCAGGCTCTCTCAGGGCCTCTGGAGCATGGGGCCGAGAAGTGGTACCTGGTTCAGAAATGACTGCATAGTTTTCCCAGCCCATGGACTAAAGGGGGTCAAGGCTACCTGATGTTCCATGGGAAAAGAGGATGTGCTTGAAGCAGAGGCCATCCATGCTTAGATCCTGGCCAGAAGCTAGGCTCACCCCTACTGCTCAGCCTGTGGCCCTTCTGATGAATCAAGGCCCCTGGAGAACAGGGCATGTGCTGCCCTCCCTGCTCCTTCAGCCTCAGGGCTGGAGGTGAGCTTCCTCACAGACAGGGCCTTTGTTCTCTGGGGTCCATAACACTGTAGGGCCATATAGAGGGCCATGCCCATGGAGACTGGTCTCACCACTGCAGTAGGTCTCAGTGAGAAGTACTCCAACACCATACAGTCTGGAATGTTTGGGGTCCCTTCCTTCCCCAACAAAAGCTTCAGTCTCACCTGTTGGGCCAGATTCAGCCTCTTCCCATTCCTGCTCCTGCTCCTGCTCCTGTGGTGGCTGGCACTGCTCCCCAGGCCAAGCACAGGCTCCTCCAGCCCTGACTCCAGAGACAAGTTGCCTTACCCTGACTTTTACATTCTTCATTCTTACCCTTATAATAAAAAATAATTTGCTTTAAGCTAGCACAACTGAAGCAACAGAATAAATTAGGATAGTATTAGATTATAACTCAGGGAACAAAATAAATACACGTGAGTCTGTAGTGATATAAAGTAATACTTGTATAAATAAATAAATGGGATTGAAGGGAAAGGTCTTCTTTGCAGAATTCTGATCGATAAATTGGAAAGAATGTGGAAGATGCAAAAATCACCACTAGGCAACTGCCACAGAAATAATTGGTATAGTTGGGGAATCAGGATATTTGTAGAGTCTCAAATTATTTCCCCCAAGATATTCATTAATTATAAAAAGAAAAAAATAGTAGCTTTACAATGGAGAAATCCAGAAGACACCAATTGAAACAAATGATCAAGGTTAACATCACCAGTAATAAGCCATATAGATATCATGTATCCGCTGGTATGATGCCCTGAAGACACATCACTTCCATGGTATTCTTACCCAAAACTCACAAACTCAATCTCATTGTGAGACAAATCACAGAAATCCAAACTGAGAAACACTCATCAGAATAACTGATTGATTCATAGAAAGTGTCAAGGTAAAGATAAGGAAAAGACTAAGAACATAACAGTCTGAGGAATGGGGTAGTTCCAGAGATGTGGAAGTGGGGTACAGATGTCAATCCCCAGAAGAGGGGGTGGTGGGGGAGAGATAAACCAAGAATTTATATGCATGTATACATGAACAGTGGGCATGGACAACAAACTGGGGACAGGGCAGGGAGGGAGGGGGAATCAGTGGGGGAAAAAGGAGAAACATCTGTAACAAAAATTAATTAATAAAAAAAAAAAAAGACGAAGGAACTATCATCATGGATTGAAGGAGACTAAGGAGACATGACAACCAAATAAAATGTAAAATCCTGGATTAGATTCTAAAACAGAAAAAGGACATTAGTGGAAAAACTGGGGAAATTCAAAGTCCGAAATTTAGTTAATAAATTTAGTTAATAATAATGTTAACCAACATTAATTTCCTGGTTTTAATAAATGAATTATGGTTATGTAAATTGTGAACATTTACAGTAACCTGGGTGAAGTGTATATGTGAATTCTCTATGCTACTTTCACAACTTTTCTCCAAACCAAAAGTTATTTCAAAATAAAATAAATAAAAGCAATTCTTGCCCTGGCCGGTTTGGCTCAGCAGTTAGAGCGTTGGCCTGCGGTCTGGAGAGACCTGGGTTCGGTTCCCGCTAAGGACGCGTGCCTCAGTTGCAGTTTGTCCCCGGCCCTGGTTGGTCGTGTGGGTGGCAACCACTCGATGTATCCCTTTCACGTCTATGTTTCTCTCTCTCCCTCCCACTCTATCTGAACAAAATATCGAAAAAAAATGTCCTCGGGTGAGGGTAAAAAAAAAGCAATTCTTAGTTACTGCACAGGACGAATAAGCCAGACTTCACAAACTACCCCTGAAGAAGGAAACTTACCATATACACACACAGACAGATGCATCCATTTTATGTATATACCACATTTCATTTTCCCATTCATCCATTGATAGACACTTGGGTTACTTTCACTTTTTGGCTATTGTGAATAATGCTGCAATGAACAAGGGTGTACAAATATCTCTCCAAGACCCTGCTTTCAATTCTTCTGTACATATACCAAGAAGTGGTATTGCTGGATCATATGGTAATTCTATTTTTAATTTTTTGAGGATCTGCTATATTGTTTTTCATAGTGCCTGCACCATTTTACATTCCCACTAACAGTGCACAAGAATTCCAATTTCTCCATATCCTTGCCAACACTTGCAAAATTTCTGTTTTGGGTTTTGTTTGTTTTAATATGTTTTTGTTAATTTTTTAAAGAGAGAGGAAGGGAAAGAGAGATAGAAACATCGATGTGAGAGAGAAACATCCATCAGCTACCTCCTGCTTGCCCCTACTGGGGATTGAGCCTGAAACCCCAGCATGTGCCAGGACCTAGAATAGAACTTGGATCTCTCAGTCCATGGGATAATGCTCAATCCACTGAGCCACACCAGCCGGGTGGGTTTTGTTTTTTTGATAGCAGCCATCCTAGTGAGCATGAGGTGATATCTCATTGTGATTTTGATTTGCATTTGTATTACCCTAACGATTACTGATGTTGAGCACATTTTCATACACTTGTACCCCCTTTTATAGATAAGGAAAGTGGGGTTTTGAGCAGTGAAGTCATCCAGGTGGTTAGTGGTGGAGTCAGAAATACATTCTAGTCAGACTCCAGAACTCCTACTGTGCCACTAAGTCTCTGGGGAGAGCTACCCCACCCTAATCCCCTGGGGCTTCTCCTACCTTCCTCCCAACCACCCATGCCCATTTGCCTTTTACTTTACTCCTACCACCCAAAAAGGAAGCAAGGAAGGGAAAGGCTGCTAAAAAAAACAAATCCTGGTGTGTGTGTGTGTGTGTGTGTGATGAAGTGCATCCCTAGAGGTGCCCACAGAGCTCCAGCTTAGCTGCTGATGACACATCCAGGAACTGAGGTGGGATGAGCTGGCTCCCAGTCTTAAAGCCAGGATGTGGGGCAGGGGATGAACAATCAATAGAAGGCCCTGTTAGGGGATCAAAGATAGGCATGGTGCCAGCGGCCACCGTAGGGCCCAAGGTAGGCATGGTGCCAATGCCAGTGGGAGCCTGAGGTGGTCCATAGGCTGAGACTACTTTCCACAGGTTCTGTAGATTCTGCAGCCACCACTCCTGGTTGGCCACCAGACTTTGCCAAAGCAACTCCCACAGGTTCCTCATTAATCTTGCTTTTCACAGCAGCTAGAGGGAGCTCTTTCTAAAAACACAAATCTGGCCCTGTTACCCTTGCTTAGAACGCTTACTATTCTCACAATAAAGTCAATTCTTCTCTGTTCCTATAAGGCCCACTGTGAACTGACCTCTGTAGGCATTTCTGAGCCTTACTCATCATCCTCTGAGCTCCAGTCACCCTGATCTATAGAATTCCATTTCCAGAATCTGCCATGTTCTTTGCTTGGATAAGTCCTGCTCGGATTTCCAGACTCAGCTCAAATTTTATCGCCCCTTCTTGGAGTTTTTCCTCACCCTGTTATCATCACAGAGAGGGTGATATATTTGCTCCAGGTCACACAGCAAGCCAGTCAGAATTTGAATTCACCCTCTAGAACCCTGTTACTAGGGTTAATGTTAGCTCTCTAGGTTACATGGCCAGTGTGCACCCAAAGCATCTGAGCTATAAGATGTCTACAGCTTAGTGCCCAGCACAAAGTCAGCCATGATGTTCGATGATTGTCACACTGTGCTGAGGAAAAGGGATAGCAGAGACCACCCTCAGGTTTTTCTTGGGAGGAACATAGAGCAAAGGAGGGGCCAGAAGCTGGGGAATACTACCTGCCCAATCAATAGCAGGAAACTAGTCTGTGATGATACCCTCCTCAGAAGGAAGCATACCCTGACCCAGCATCTCCTGCCCCTTATCAGATGTGAAGCAGGAAGTGCAGTGGGTGAAGTATGTGTGTATCCTGACTCCTGAAACTTTGAAAACCTGCCACCAAATCACTTAGAATGCTAAGGGACTAGTGGCATAAGCTGGAGCCCCTGTTCATCACTGGGCGGAATGCTCAGAGGGGTGTCTGTCTCTTCATACGTGCCTTGGGGCCATGGTTATCACCTCCTTTGGTTCCCTGCACCCAGCCAGCATCAGCAAGACCTCTTCACCTTTCCAGAGAAACTAGAACTTCAGGATAGGGCCCCAAGCCTCACCATAGACATATGGCAGAGCAGTAGGCCCCCAATGCTTCCAGAAGTCTGTGGCCAGGAACAGGAAGACCTGCCCCTTTATGTCTGCACTTGGGCTCAGCAGCGTCTCCTACACCCCTACTCCTGCCTGGGGCAGGACTTGACGCAGCCTGTACATCTGGGAAGCCTCTCTAGGGCATTATCTAGGCTCTTGAGAAACAACTTCATCTGTTGTGAAATTTCTAAAAGGAAAAGACAGTTGGTGATAACACTCCCTTCTCCACCCCCTCCATACTGGACAGAAAGATCAAGAATTAGCTTCATGTGAGTTCTGTTCTCTTGGGCTGCACACCTGTGTTAGAAGCATAACCCACTGGTGGGCAAACCAGAGTGGAGAGTCTCGAGGGGGACTGACGCAGATGGAGTGTCGCTCACACACTCACCTCGGTCACGATGGTGGACAGGTAGACGTCCTGGCTGAACTCCCAGCCATCCAGGCAGCTCTCCTGCTCCAGCCGCTCCAGGTCCACGTCGCGCCCCGGCTCCAGCCCGAGCGCCGAGAAGTTGGCGATCGCCGCGAGCCGGTAGCGCCGGCAGTTGTGAGGCACCTCGCGGCCGTCCTGCATTCTCAGCGGGACACTGTGGTTGCGCCAGGCGCTGCTCAGGTTCGCGGTGTCCGGCACCCGGCAGCGGTGCTCCGGGGTCCCTGCCAGGAACACGACTGACATACCGTTGAAGCCGTTGGGGATGATGCTGGCGCTGAGCAGAAAGAAGATGAGGCGCTGGAAGGGCCCCCACTCGCCCAGGAAGGCGGTCACCTCGTCGTAGTCCCGCATGCTTCCCGCCGCTGCTGGGCAACTTGCAACTGGAGGTGGTGATAAGAGCGTTCCCCGGGGTGTGTCGCGCAGTCGCGGGCGTTACCCGAGGGTGTCAGAACTTCTCGCGCACAGAGGCTGCGGAAATTGGGACGCGCAATCGGGGCCGGTTCGCGGGAAACCTGCTGCGGGCTCCGGAACGTTCGCTGGGTCTGGACGCAAAGCTGGAAGCTGCCGTAGAAACTCGGGACCACACCCCATCCCGGCCGGGGCTGGAGCTGGGGCTGGGGCTAGAGAAGGGAGGCGAGGGGAGGGAAAGGGAGGGCGGTGGGGCCGGCTGGGGCGGAGCCTCTAGGCCGGCCCCGCCTCTTGCCCCCGCTCGCTGCCTCCGGCGACCCCGCGGTGGACTCTGCTGGCACTTGGAGCACGGCAGGGCCACCTGCGTTCAGGGAGGAAGCTCCGCTCCAGATCGCTCTGCGTCCCCTAAGTGCCGAGCAACCCAACCCGGGCCTCCGAGTTGGGCCCCACAGGGGCAGCGGGAGAAAGGGAGGAGCCGAGGCTGGAAAGCAAAGGCTTCGAGAGGTGGCTCTGGGCCCTCTCCGTGGGCGTCTGCCCCTCGCCCGGGGCAGGGGTCTCTCCGCAGTCCCTTCCAACCCGGAATCTGAGCTCAGCTGGCCTCAGTACGGCGGGCCGCGGACGCAGGACCGTGGAATGGGTGCTCCAGAACCCGTGCGGGCGATGCGGCGACAGATTGCCTCTCCTCTGAGACGCACGCCACGCAAGGGGCCGGCACCAGCTGACAGGGCGCTCACTCCCCACCGGTGCTAGGAAGGCTGGATTCGGTCACCAGCAGGCGGCTCCCAGAGAAGCGCCTTCGGGACTGTCAGGAGCTTCACCTTGAAAAAGGGGAAACAGGCCCAGATTCCGGAAGGGATAAACAAGGTCACACTGCGTCAGAGAGAGGCTGGGACGAAGGGAGGTGGGGAGGTCAGGGGTCGTCCCAAGGTCCTGCCTGGGCTCCAAGAGTATTCAACAGGAGCCTGGCCCACTGTGAGAGCACTTAATGGAGAGGCTACTGACCGCTCCTGGATTCTAATTTTGATCCCTTCGCTCTCTCCCCAGGGCTCTTTATGGGACAGCTGCCAGAGCCTTCTCGGACTGGAAGGCCTCCTCCTGTTGGCAGAAGGGACTGCCCCAGTCCAGGAACTGGGAGGGAGGGGGAGAGGAGAAAGGAGAAAGGTCTAACAGAGTAACCAGACCAGGGACAACAGTCTGCTCAGTGTCCAGGCCTAAGTCCCCTCTGCTGTTGTTAGCTAGCCTTGGGCTGCTGTCAGTGTACTGAGGTGCGTGAGGCAGATGAAACTGACAGGCTGAAGGACCCACCTCTTTGGATATTTTGTACAAGTGTGTTTGCTTCTCTAGACCCTGGTTAAGAGGCTGAAAGACATTCCTGCCTCATTTTTTTGTAGCCTCCAACCTTACCTCTCCTCTTAGCCTGGCTTCCCACCTCCTTGACACCTCGGCTTTCTTGTCTGTAATAACACCACATGTCCTGATGTGCCAGGATAGTTCTGATTTATGCCTAGTAATCCAGCGACATTATTAATAGTACTTCCCTTTACTTTAAAAAGTATTCTTCTTTGAAATATATATATATATATATATATATATATATATATATATATATATATCAGATCTTCTGATTCAATGTCATTTTGTTAAAATTTTGATGAAGAAAAAATGTTGATTCCCAGCCTGGGCCATAGTTTGTGTGGTGTTTTCACATCTTCCCATGTCTGAGTGAGTTTTCTCCAGGTCCTTTGGTTTCCTCCCACATCCCAAAAATGTGCCTGTAAGGTTAATTCATGTGTCTCGATCATCCCAGTCCTAGTGTGTGTGTGTGTGTGTGTGTGTGTGTGTGTGTGTGTATGTGTCCCTGTGATGGAAGGGTGTCCTATCCAGGGTGGGTTCCCACCTTGCACCTTGTCCTTCTGGGATAGTCTCTGGCTACCCATGACCCTGACTTGGAAGAAGCGGGTTGGAAAATAATGATCTTACTTGTTTTTGTTAATTTTTCTTAAGTGTATGTATAGCTCACATTTACTTCAATGTTTACTATTAGAAATGTTTGGGGTCTTTTTTTTTTTTTTAAATTTTCCTTTATTGATTTTAGAGAGAGAGGAAGGGAGAGGGAGAGAGAGATAGAAACATCTATGAGAGAGAACATCGATTGGCCACCTCCTGTGTGCCCCCTACTGGGGATTTGACGCACAACCTGGGCATGTGGGGGAATCAACCTGCAACCTCTTGGTGCATGGGTCAATGCTCAGCCACTGAGCCACACCTGCCCGGCTTTGGGGTTTTTATTTAGAAGTTTGGTGATGTTTTTTGTGGTCAGAAATATGTCATGGGAACTTAACTTTTGTTTATATCAATTAGCTTATGGTAAAATATTGTTTCACTTAAAGTTGAAGTTTCTAAGAACCTATCAATGATGTTACTTGAGTACTTACTGTAATGTGGTCACTATCTTACTTAGCTTGGATTTCATCTTCTCCTCTTCCCCAGTAAAAAAGCAAAGCTTGAAACGATAACTATGTGGAGTAGTTTATTTTAAGTAGTAATTCTAGAGAAAGGCATGAGAGACTGGGGAGAGTAAATGGGGAAGGAGGAAAGGCCAACACAAGACTGTGTAATTGAGTTGGTCATTGGCCATGACCAGGATCAGTGACAGTGTTGTGCTGAGACATATTGGAACCAGAGGCCAAAGGAAAAATTTAGCAATACTGATCCTATCTTTACTTAAAATTTTAACATTTTGTTAAATGGGTTTTTAGACTGATTTTGATTTTTAAAAACATATTAAAACATTATTAACTTGATTTTTTAGTTTCTCTATGCCCCCTTAAATTTTGCCCGTAAAGCAAGTGCCTCACTCATTCCACTTGTCCCAATTCTCCTTGCTATGGATGACTAGGATTTGATTCCACTGGGACCTTATAAGAGATATATAGAATGAGGGGGTATTTGTTTCCTAGTCCTGGCTTCATTGGTCAACTCCCTGGCACTTTTCCAGGTTGCACACGTGTGAGAGCCAAACAGTATCATTCAACTAAACTATTTGCCATTGCTCATGAGTATATATAAATCCATATCTTGACCATTTTGCCCTCCATACAAAATGAATGCCCAAGGTGCACCACTTACAGGTGGGCCCATTGGGAGCATTTCCCTTGACCATTGTCCTTTAGGGCCACCCCTAAGTGGAGTTGTGTTGCAGTAACAATTCATTTTTTAGCTAGTATCAGAGTTACCCATTTGTGAGTTAAGCCTGAGTATTTTTTTTCCTCCACCAGTTAGTTATAGAGAACCATTCCACAAGACCATAGTTTTGAGTTAAGAGAGAATTGTTAGTATAGCTAAGGTAGGTGTCATAGAAATTTAAGCCACCTGTTCATTGACTTACATGAGCCTTATGGACCTGCTCAATCCTAATCCCGACTCTATCATTTACATTCTAAGATGTATTACTGATGTGCCTGCTTAATCTTATGACTTGATAGAATATGACAATACCCAACTCATACTGTACATTCTAGTTTCATAGGCTTTTGATGTCCCATTGCTATATAGCTGCTTTTCAAAAGGCAAAAATCTCTCTGCTACAGAAGGCATGACCTTGCTCTGGAACCTGAAATCTGTACTAAAACTCTTTTTTAGGGTTGATAAGAGACTCTACCCAGCATGTTTATCACCACAAATACCTCTAGCACCATTCTTCTTCTGGGTTATGTGGACCAAATGGCAGGGACCCTTGCACTACACTTGGACATACTGTAGAGATCTCTTGACCTGGGCTTCACTGGCACCCAGTAAATAGGTCAGAGTAATATTCCCAACAAGCACTATGTCTTTTTACTGGTGGAGGGTACACCAGTAAACAACTTGTTTTTACCTTACAGAGGATGACCTTTCATGCTCTAGACTACTGGATCCCTAGTAACCAATTAGCTTCAAAATAATATGAGATGAAAGAATTGAGTAAGGATATAGATAAAATAAGATTGGCCATGATGGTGGCTTTAGGGGTTCATTGTACTAGTTTGTTTATTTTTATATACATTTAACTCATTCCAGAATAAAAAGATAAAAGGGTAAGAAAAAAACTTCACCATTATAACAGGCCCTAAATCTTCATACTCCCCGCCACCCCTACCTCCCATCTTCCGGCATGCAGTATCTTACTAGAACATCTAGAGGACTTGGCCAAACTGGCATTATGCCATCAATGCAGTGAACCATCATGATGTTCTGTGAAATATGAAGACAAAGTCACTAAATACTATATTGTGAAAGAAAGCAGGAGAATTCGCATGGTCCAGGGGCAAGAAAGTAAATACGTGCTGCTATTTATCCCACAAAAGCAAACAGCTTTTGGTCCCCAGTAATGAAGACTATTGAGAAGAAAATCTTCGATGTTGGTGCTAATTTTCGCAGTTCCTCCCAGGATGTAATTTTGCTTCTGAGTTAATTGTCAAAAATGTGAGGATGGCCCTGGTCCGCGTGACTCAATGGATAGAGCATCGGCCTGTGCACTGGAGGGTTGCGGGTTCAATTCCCGGTCAAGGGCATGTATCTTGGTTATAGGTTCGATCCCCGGCCCTAGTGGGGGCGTGTGTCGGAGGCAACCAACTGATGTGTCTTTCTCACATCAATGTTTCTCTCTGTCTATCTGTCTCTCTCCCCTGCACCCTCTCTTCCAATCTCCCTAAAATTCAATGGAAAAGAATATCCTCTGGTGAGGATTAACACACAAACAAAATGAGGGTGTTAGAGGCTTCCACTTGGCCCTTCCTATCATAATGGCTCTTATTTAATGGGATGGGGGTAAATGTTAGGGTCTTGCCTGCTGCTGAGTGTATCTATCCCAGTCATGTACTTAGGAATCAGGGAACGACAGTGTAAATCTTTTTATTTTTTTATTTTTAGGGAGAGAGAGAGAGAGACATTGATATGAGAGAGAAATATTGATCTGTTGCCTCTCATACACACCCCAACCAGAGATGGATCCTGCAACCTGGGTATGTGCCTTGACCAGGAATCAAACCCACCTCCTTTTAGTGTACAGGATGATGCTCCAACCAACTGAACCACACCAGTCAGGGCTACAGTGTGATCTTTTTATTTTTTAGAGAGAAACATTGACATGAAAGGG